CTTGTTGTCTGACGTCCCATACGCCGGCAGGCAGCGCCCCCGGGCGGAAGGATCTGTAGTTTGCACTACATCAAGAAACATGTGTTTTTCTGCATCTCAGACTTCAGTTGTTTCTTAGATATTTCAATAGTTCGTTTGTTGATAAGCTATTCTTACACTGCAGTTAAAGTTCCAGGAAAACTGTAGTTAAACTGTAGGAAAAGTACCAGTTATTTCGGACAACTATAGTTTTTGGTGACTATAGTTTCTGACAACTGCAGTTCCCCAGCAGTTCCCCGCCTAGTTCCCCACTCTGTTCCTACTACAGTTAGAGTACAGTTTTATTGAATTTTCAATTTCAGTTTAAGGTAAAATGTGCCTGTAGTGTAAACACACAATTAATACAAAAACAAATCAAAGGTATCTGTACGCTCAGGAGTATTAGCGAGTGCAGAGATTGCGCAATTCTAGTGCACTGAGGATTCACTTTTCAAATCATAGGTTTCTATAAATAAATCTAAAACAGTACTGTGACTAATACAGTTCTTTATTGAGCACCATAGCTCACAAACCAGTACAGTAGTGCCCAGATATAAAATCACAGTTTTCTTCAACTTGCATCTCAATTCTTACATAGCCATCTGCAAGGGAAATGAGCACTGAATTAGTGATGAGCACTGATACGCCATTCCAATGGGAAAAGACTTGTGGCAACTAACTCACCCGTTGGTCCCTCGTGAAGTGACGAACCATTGCTCTGAAGTCTTAGCCCCAAGATATTGTTGTGTGCAGTGATTTTCATGTAAATCCACAAAAAGACTCCAGCCTGGACAGGAAACAAACAAAGTTACAGTCTAGCAGAAGCTTTCAACAGGTACTTCAAAGTTGTTAGGTAAGACTCACTAAGCCTATTAAAGACTCCACCGGACACATGTTGCTACGATTACGCACGAAATGTCCTGGGTTGTCAGAAACAATTGTCCTCCTTGTGAACTATAACACACATTTCTCGAGCCTACAAAAGAAACAAAATTATTAAAAGGAAGAAAGATTGAACATGTAACAAATGCTAGGGTGGTAAGAGACTCACCAGGCTTCTGTGTACCTCACAGGCTGCAGGACGCATAATGTGAACTCTGTAGTACTTTCGAGCGTCTTCATTAGCCATCTGCAAGGAAAACGAGCATTGGATTGGTGACTGGTGCTAATGAGCCATACCAACGGGAAAAGACCAATGGCATCTTACTGACCTGTTGCTCCCTGTTGTATGCAGCAATTCTCACATAAATTTACAACAACCAGCAGTACCAATGCAATGATGCGCTGAATGTCTTCAGTTGTTATAAATATCGTTAAAAACTTTCTTGAGCCTAGAAAAGAAACAAAATTATTGAAAGGAAGAAAGATTAAACATGAAACAAATACTAGGGTGGTAAGAGAGTCTCACCTGGTCTCTGCATACTGCACAGGCTGCACTTAGTATGGTGTGAACTCGTGTACTTTCAAGCGCAATGCTGAAACCACTTCCATCTTCAATGTAACCTGAAGTGGAAAAACAAACAACATAATGAGCAGTTCTTTAGGTACCAAATGCTAAAGAGAAGAATCAAACCCAATTGGTTAACGTTACTTACGCATAATCCGCCTCCCGGCAGCGAGAAGATGCATCACAGATCAAGTGATTGACAGGTTAACAGGTTAGGTTTCACACATGGAGGTTGCCTGGGCCTTTACCGTTGTTTGAAGTACTCCGAAGTCCCCGTCTCCTGAAAACAATACATTTAGCATGTAGGAGAATCATTTACAATAATAGAATAAACTTGAAATGCTTGGGATTGAGAGAGAGATCAAAAGAAAACGAAAGGGGTGAGGGGCGGCGTAAGGGGTCGAAGCATGGACCTCCATGCCTATTCCGAAAGATGAACATAATTGACAGATAATTACCTCGAGTATGAAAGCTGCATTTCTCAAACGGCAAATCAAACCCTTTCAAAAGAGGCCCGAGATAAAAGAAGCTAACGTAAAACAACTTGGAGTGCCCACCGCCGCTCACCGCTCACATGACGCCATCTTGAAATGATCAGTGACTTGTTTTTTTTTATTTTGCTGTGCCATGGCCAACCTGAACGCGTGAAAAATCTGCTAGCTGCTCCACTTTCAATTACAAAATTGAGTAAATTTCACTATAAGTGCTACTTTTTTATAACAGTTAATCGCTCTGCCTTATGGCAGTTAATATTACGACGCAATTTTTCAACCATCCGGATCAGGCTAAAGTTGGCCGTTGCACAGCCTGATAAGAAAAATGGGAAGAAAAACAACATCACAGCCAAAATATAAATGTGTTGCCGGATCAGCTGACTGTCAGTTCGTGTGTGCCAGTGTGTGCTCGTCAAGTCAAATTGTTCTTGCGCTCGTCAAGCAGCGAGAAGGAGAAGATCATGACTAGATTCATCAAGACCGTGAACGCCGGCGGCAGGTCGTCGAGGTCTACCTCTTCAGGATCTAACTCTTCAAATTCTTCGGTTGACAACAGACGAGCCTTGGTCAAATGGCTCGATGGAGCCGACGCTGGCAGCTACAGCCATGACATCGAACTTGATTGTATTGTGGAGCTTGATTCCGCGTCTCCAGAGTATCCAGAGACGTACGCAATCGAGTGGCGGGTGGGAAATAAACCCCGCAACGGTTGGCCTGTTCATGAGGGCTATGTGATTGACATTAGCTGTAAGTGAATCACCTGTCTGCCTGTCTGTCAGTTCGTCTTGTCTTGGAATTCTAGTGTTGCTTTTAGTTATTTTGGCGTGTGATAGATCATGTCCATTCTTTAGCCAGTTAAACATGTGGCCAGACAAGTCAATGAAAGTCATAGTGTTTGAAGTCACCTGTCTGTCTTGTAGGACATTTTGTATGGATGCAACCGTTAGGCTTTTCTTGTGTTACTTGGCCACTTTCTGTCCAAAGGCTTTTTTGCTTTAGGGCTGTGTTATGCACTTCTGCAGAGCTTACTTTGTGATGCATGGTTTTTAATTTTGGCCTTTCCATGTTTCAGCGGACCAAGATTTTCTTGAATCCAAGGCCCAGCAGCTAAGGGAATCTGACGAGTTGAGTAAGCAGTCAGCCAATGACAGAACCAGTGGCAGTGGAAACAGCACTGGCAGGACTGAGGACAGAACCAGTGGCAGTCGTAACAGCACTGGCAGGACTGAGGAGAGAACCAGTGGCAGTGGAAACTCCACAAGCACCCTAATTGACATCAATTCTGATGGTAAGTTTTCAGTTTTTAGTAGGATTGAGTTTAAGTACAGTCTACCAATAATTGTTTTGTCCTTCAGCCTTCAGGAGCCTAATCCGCTCACTTACGAGTCACAATTCTGAGGAATCCACAAGGAGCAGCAGAAGCTCCTCTCCTTCACCCACACCAACCAACATTCAGCCAAAGGTAATTAACCTCTTATTCCTCAAATTTCTTTTTGTCAATTTATTTGGTGCTATTTTTATTGGTTTTTGTTTGGCAACAGGTTCTTGTGGGCAAGAGCCTTTACGTTTCGCCTGATGCCCACATGATGGCAATGCATGCACCGTCTCCTGGGAGAATGATCAGGCCACTTCTACGCCAGGCCTTCAAGCGAGACAAACTTATTAAATCCACCTATGCTGGCCAGGCTAGGAGAAAGGGCAATGAAGTGGTGGTAAAACCAGGGTTAAAAAAGTACCAGAAGATGGCTGACATTCATGGTTTGTTTGTTTTTTGTGTTTTTTTTGTTTTGACAATAGGGGATATCATTGTTTTGTTTTTTTTACTGTGCTCGATTTTGTTCCAGCATGCGTTTTGAAAAGGTTCCCTCACCTGTCCCAATCTGCCTTCGGTGCTGCTGTAAACAGTTTCTTGGGCGAGGGCCCCAATGCTATCCACCACATCGAGGCAAGTGGCTGCACATCATCTCTCTCTCTCTTAAGCATGGTATGGAAATATTTTTTTGGTTTTAATTACCTTTCATTGTTTCAGTATCGGGACGTAACTGATGATGAGGAAGAGATGGAGTGACTGTCTGTCCTTCCATGGAGAAGAGAGAAGTGTGAAGACTGAAGCCATCTTTTATTTTTATTTTTCTATATGTCAAGCAGTGGAAGTTATGAAGTCTGGTCTTGAATGAAATAAAGTTTCTTTTACAAACAACTCAATCTCACTTCTTCAGACCTTCATCACCACTGATTTCTAAATGCATACTCGAAAGTTAACAATTACATTTTAATTATGAAGTCTAGTCTTGAATGAACTAAAGTTTCTTTTACAAACATCTCAATTATCTCACTTCTGCAGGCCTTCATCACCACTTGTTTCTAAATGCATACTCGAAGTTAAGAATGAAATTACAATTAAATAGGCTTCTAAAATAGCATCAGAATGTAAATGCTTGCCTTATTTAAAAACTGCGGAGCAGCAATGTACAGTTACATCCAAGAATCGTCTTCCGAAAAAAAGGGGAACATACTCCTTGCATTTGAGTAATTCAATGTTTTTCAGTTAACCAACTGATAAGTGCTTGTAGCATGTTTGATGTGTGCAAGATTGTAAATGTCCATCAATGAAACGAAGTTCAAGTTAAACAATTTATTTACAAATTCTAGTACAAATAGAAAATACGAGACAATGCTGAATTAAAGAAAAGGAAGCCGGACATCTTGTGAAGTTGAGTTCTACATCGTGCCACTCTGTAAACAACAAGACAGTACTGCTTAAAATAATGTCATAGTTGCACTGCATACACATGGTGCATGCTTACCTCGTTTTGAATTTCCACAGCAGTGGACTGCTTTGCCTTTCCTTCCAAAGTGTGTATCTTCTTGAGGAGCTTCTCTGTCCGACAGTGGGTGCATACTGGCCCTTCTCTACTTTCATACTCATCTTTCGTTCTTTCGAGTTCCTCCATACCATCCAATTTTTCCAATGTATCTTGATACACACAGCAATGCCATTCTAAATGGTCATTTTGCAATTTGAGCTCCTCTAAGTCTTTTTCCAATTTAAGAATCTTTAGACAAGAGAGCAGATATGACCATCAGTAAGGTATTTTTGTCACAACAAAACATTGAGTCACCAAAGACAAGATACAATGTCAAAGCCTACCTTCTTTGCTTGAGTTTCAGTAACATCCTCCCAGGTCTCATGATGACCTTCACATGTGGAATCATTGGAGGAATTCAAAGAGCTGTCTGAAGCCATAGTAGCACTGCTCCTCACTTTACAACTGCTAATGGGAGACTATTTTTTGAAGCAAGAGAGTGACCCTCACTGGATCACAAAGAGAGGTGGAGTGGAGAGGAGAGGGGGAAGGAAGGGGAGTGAAAGTGGGGGAAGGGAAATCAGGTACTTTCCCCTTTCCCCTCCCTCTCAAGGCCTTGGGTCAGCATGCATTTTGTGCTCTGAAAATTGGTAGGATGGGAGAATGAAGCGACCATATAAAAATCTCTGATGAAGTGAGATTTTTCAAAATACTCCCTATCGTACTGAATAAATGATTTCATTTTGATTACCATTCTTTGCAAATGCAGCAAGATGCTGAATTTTACCACAGTTTGCCTATAATTGGAAATAAGGAAAAAAGAAAATTAAAGGTAAAATGCAGTTGCTTTCAGGACTTTATTTATGGAGCAAAAGTAATGAATACATATTTACAATTCCATAAGTCAATAAGGTGGTGATGTATCGCAAGAACAGGATTTAAAAAGGCAAACAAGCAATAATTTCAACATTTCACAAAGGTAAAAAATGAATGAAGATCCATTCAAAAAGCCATGCGTAAATAAGGAAACCATCAGCCAAATTCAATCCAAATGCGTTGTCATAAACAATAAATCAAAACTAATGAAGCATTTCCTTTTCTAACACATTGATACAACCAAACCTTAGAGATTGCTCTGGAGAAATGGAGAGGCAGAATGAGAGGAGCTTCATGTCAAAATTTAAAACAGGCACACATCTTAAAGTTTCATCAAATTTGTCATTAAATATCTCAATGTGTGGAAGAACAGTATTGCATAATTGAGTTCTGTTTCTCACTAAATAATGGCCCAATGCTAGAGCCACACCATCAATTACTAAAAAAGAATGAATTTCAAACACTTCTCCACTTAAAAGAAGAACAACACTATTATTTTGTTTTTCAACTTTAGAATAATTCACAGACTGAAATATTTCATTGTTGAAGCTACATCTATCAAACATTACAACATCTGTTCCAAAAGCAGGTTGAAATCCTTCCTGTAAAATGATTTCTTGTAAGTTATGTGATAACACAACAGTCTTAGGCTCACCAAGAAAACTGACGTCCCCAACAGACATACGAGGTTCTGCTAGAACTTTACTCGAGCACGTAAGAGACTTCAAGAAATCTCTCTCAGCATCACACATTGCCCAGTCCAAATCAATTTCCATAGTTTTCAAAGCAATTTTGAGTTGGATGAACTTAGCAATTTGATGGGCAATTCCATTGCTGCCATGGATAGCAGCCTTCAATAAACCTATAAAGTTTTCAAAGAGAAATGCTGAGTGGGTCCAGGGCTGGCCAAAGTTATACACACTTCTTGCCAAATGAGTCAGTAAATGGGTGCTAAATGTGACATGCTCAGCACCATACAAACTGTCAATTTCAGCATTGAACCGTCGCAGAAACCTTTCAGCATGCACCTTATCAACTTTAGACACAGAATTCTGCATTAAAAGGACAATACCAAGCACTAATAGAGACCAGTGGTTGAGTACACGATTGGAAACAATATTTTTAAGAACTGGAATACTATAAAATACCACCCATGAAAACCACTCATGACCTCTATAATCAGCACGTTCACTTAGAGATCTGGGGCCTCTAGAAACATTATCAGTAGGAGTAATCGAAAGGAGACGTTCATCTATCTCAGCAAATCTTGCATGCACATTAAAGTGTTTCCCTGAATACTTCTTACTGAACCAAAGATTAGCAAATCTTTTTGCACAATTGACAAGAGCATGAAACAAATCAAGATCAACACAATTAATTATATCAAACCCAGGAATCTCTGACAATATTGAGGTTCCTTTAATGCCCTGCTGGCGCTTTCCTGATGTATCCGCAATCCTGGCTTTCTCCATGGTCTCCTCATGGGTACGAGGGGGAAATTCTCTTTCTAAGATGGAATAAGATTTGCAGTGTCCTCTCCCTCGTCTCATTTCGAAAGCTGGATGGTAACAGAGACCACAGCCGTAATCACCTGAAAGTGAAGTGAGGTATGAGCACTTACGCACATTTAGAGACAAAGTAGCATTCAAAACATCGGATGAAAATAGTTACTGACCATTAAACTGGGTTGAATTTCTGAGAGTTGGTCGAGCCACAGAGTCACTAATACACATTAGTGGAACCACATTAAGGTGCTTATCCTGCCCATTGATCTTGAAAGAAATTCCGGTTTGCTGAAGCTCGATGCATTCTTTTACAAAAGGTTTCAGATATTCGTTGATGTTAGGTTTTTTCTTCCCCAGCCACACACTTGCCATCATGACATGCTTCCTTCGGAGATGCAGAGGTAATTCATTCACATTCAACAAGACTGGCACAGCAGAGCTTTTGCTTGTGCATTTTACCTGCAGACAACAGAAAAAGTTCAATTAAGCACTGAGTGAGGAAACTAACAATATAAAGAAAGAAAAAGACAATAAAATGTACCTGAAAACCATCAACAAAAAAATTAAGAGATACACTGTTGGGACCAACTCTTAGCTTATATATTTTTCCATCAAAGATATCTTCATAATTTCCTTGCTTTATTTTCTGGCGATGCTCTGGCTTGATAAGTTTGTCAAAGAGTCCATTGGTCAGCAGAAACTTGATTTGATCAGCTATAGATATGTATAGAAATACATTGCCATTCTTCTTGTTTACCTTGGCATTGATCTCAGTCGAGCAATTTCTGCATTCAAGAAGGTCTTCAATAGCTTCCCCAACATACATCTTACAGTCAGGACACACATGATGAACACGTACAGATGTTGAATACATATTTATGGCAGCTTTCAATATATGTTTGGATGCAGAAAATGAAAAGTCTTTAGACCAGACACCGGCCAGCCTCATGATGCACTCTGCTGCTGCATACGTTAACTTATGTTTTAACTTGGTAGCTAGCAAAAGCAAAACCTTAATCTTATCAGGAGCACTTAAAGTAAACTCAGGAGCTACAGCCATCTCACTTTCCTCATCTTCACTGTCACTTGGATCTTGCGGAGGTTGGTCGTCAGATAAAGGAACGGGTGAAAGCACACTGTCCAGCTGCTCGTCAAAACTATTTTCTTCCTCTTCTCCAACTGAACTGTTGAAAGTTTCATCAGTATTACCGGCTTCTTCATTTTGAATGAATTCCCACTGAAGGTCTTGATGCTGGTCCAACGTTAAATCAAAGGGAGGCTGGTCTAATGGTAAATCAAGATCAATGCCGGGCTGCTCCAACAGTGAATCAATGGGATGCTGGTCTAACGGAACATCAACATCAATGAGAGGCTGGTCCAACGGCAAGTCAAAACCAGAGGGAGCCTGGTCCAATGGCAATTCAGTAGGAGGCTCTTCTGAATCAGGGGAGGGATGTAGGAGCCTGTAAACAAACCCAACCATTAGATTTTGGAGAAGGAATTCACCACTCCTCGAGACACAACTGTAACGAGTGACAGCTCTATGATTTCAGTTCAATAGGCTTCAGGTTCAGTTACAAATCATAACCTTTGACGGCAACAGACGCCAGTTTCCCAGAGAGTACTCACAATGGCAATTCAATGGGAGGCTCTTCTGAATCAGGGGAAAGATGTTGGAGCGCTGCAGGGTTAGCAGAAACACCTGCAAACCTAACTTTCGGCCCATATTTCCTTTGCCTGTAAACAAACCCAACCATTAGATTATGGAGAAGGAATTCACCACTCCTCGAGACACAACTGTAACGAGTGACAGCTCTAAGATTTCGGTTCAATAGGCTTCAGCTTCAGTTACAAATCATAACCTCTGACGGCAACCGACGCCCGTTTCCCAGAGAGTACTCACTTTTTAGGTTGCGGTGGATTGATGGCAGCATGTAATGTTGATTTTGGTGCGCGCGCTTCCTCAAACTCCCAAGAGCTGTAGGGCCCCCGTTTGCGCCCACGCCTTGGCAACATGGTGCCAAGCTGAGGTCCCTCGCATCGCTAAGATGTTGTTGAGCGAGCTGCGTGGTGCGGCAGGGGTGGACCGGAGCCGTCGTCCTCTCTGGGCTGCACTGGACTCGACTAAGCTGACACCGGCGAAGTCACGTGAGGCCAGCAGGAGTCTCGGCCAGCCTCGTCCAGAGAGCGCTGTCGCTGTGGCCTGGGCCACGGCGCCTGGCTTGGAGTGGATAGGCCACCGTCTCCACACCAGTGTGAGGCGGGACAGAATGGTGGCCTACCTGGCAGGCGCTACCGGTCGCACTGAACCGGAACGCACAAGCACTCATCTGTGCGGGTGCCCACGAACGCGACGAACACGAACACAACCGAAACTGCAGTTCGGCGTTACTTCAACAGTGCACGTGCGACTGCAATGTACGGAACAGTGCAAACTGCAGCTTAAGTGGTAATTTAGTGCATTTCAATCTTACAGATACAACTGAAGTGTAAGTAAACGGTTGAAACTGCAGTTTTGCGTTGCAATTTCTATAGTTAAAACTATTCTCCAAAACTACAATTTAATCTGTAAATACGTAAAAAGTTAATCTGCAGTTACCAGTCACTTTTGACTGCAGTTTCCGGACTACAGATTTGTCCTACAGTTTAAACTGCAGTCTAACTACAGATCCTTCCGCCCGGGCGCCCGAAAACTCGCGGTAAAGGGGTGGGCCCCAACTCAACTTTTGCCTCTGGCCGTCACGCCCCAGGCATACTTGTTACGTGTGTGCGAAATGCCCTGTTTTTTTTGCGCCCGTGGCTCTGGGGTGTGTGTGTGGGGTGTGGTGTTTTGTGGGGGTGTGTGTGTGGGTGTGTTTTTTGGGGTGTGGGGAGTACATTCCGTGCCAAGTAACGAGTGTGTGCGAAAGTGTTGTCCCGGGTGCTGATATGTACTCTACTGGAAGTAGGGGTTCATCTGTCCACAGCGCGCCAAGCACACACTAGACAGGAGTAGTACATGCGCGCAGCGCACACACTCACACACACGCAAGAATACAGACAGACGCGCGCGCACACACACACACACACACACACACACACACACACACACACACACACCTAGGAGTGAGTCGTAAAGCCCTTTGCTGTCACACGTAATCTGAGATCTATTCTGGGCCAAAGGCGCGAGCGCGCTGCGACGGCGCCTTAACCGAATTTTCCACCGTGCGTCCCTAGCGCGTCTCTAGTGGCTCTAGCTCGTCTCTAGCGCGTTGGACGCCGGGCATGCCGTCACTAGGATATTGACTGGGCCACTCAGAGGGGTTTGGGCGGCCGCGGCTCAGGCAAAGAAGGCTCAGCTGTTAGCCGACATCTCAGCCAGGTTGACGGGCAGAGGCGGCCCGGCTAGGCTGACCCACTGCAAAAAAAAAGGTTCCTGGTTTTCCCAGGAACTGCCTGGAAATAGTCTTTGTCTTCACTGCAGGCTACCTGGGAAAACCAGGAACCGTTTTTGCAGTGCGCCCGCCCTTCGTGGCGCACGCCACTTCACGGCTTTCCTCCCAGCGGCAAATGCAGGAGATTTTACAGCGGGGCGGGACTGACTGTGACACTGTGACCGGATCGGGAGATCGAGAGTCCCCTTTCCCTTCTTGTTCGGAAGCGGCTCACGCAGACAGTGGCGTGGCCCGCGCCCCCGATTGGCGAACCACAACAACAAGCCCACCACCCACACCTTGAACGTATTGCGTGTCGCTTGCCGAAACACGATCTCCTCGAAGCCTTTTTATTGCGCTGTCTCTTCCCTTCTTCTCTTCTTCTTCTTCTTCTTCTTCCTCTTCTTCTTCTTCTTGCACCTTGCCGCGCTCGGCGGGGCACTGCGTTTGAGCCGCGAGAGGTCTATAACAAACGTCTACCCACATTTGAGCCGCCGCTAGCCCTTTTCCCTTATTTGTTTGTTTGGCTTCGTTATTCCCCCGGCTTCAAAAAGTCGATTCCGTTTTGCCGTCGCCCTTCTTACTCTTCCCCCGGCGGCGGCGAGGAGGTTTTCAAAGCGGAGGGAGGGCTTAGCGCCATGTCCAGGTGCACCGCCTCGGCCGCGAGCGTTATGGGTGGCCCGAAAGCCCGCAGCATTCTTGGCCCCAAAATGAGCCTAGAGGCCCCCCCCCTCTCTCTCTCTCTCTCTCTCTCTCTCTCTCTCTCTCTCTCTCTCTCTCTCTCTCTCTCTCTCTCTCTCTCTCTCTCGGAAACCGCGCCTAGCCGCCCTTTCCCGCCCCCTTTTGCGTCCCGGCGCCCCCGTGGTTATTTAGACGGAAAATTATTCCACGGTTCCCCCCCCCCACTTTTTCCGCTCGCGGTCGCTTTGTGAGCGGTTTCCCGCCCCCCTCTCCCACCTCCTCCCCTCCCCTCCCCTCCCGGAGAAGGATGAAGCGTCTGGAGACTCGGCCGCCATGAATCTGACCGCGCTTGGATGAGATGAGTCGAGGCGGTCATAAGGGCGCCATGAACAGTCGGATCACGCAGCGCCAATATTCTCGCCACCCAAGGATTTCCGGAAGCAGAGCGAAGGAGAGAGGCGGAGAGACGAGGACGGAGAGGGGCGGGGGGCAACCCAGATCTGACCGTGAGTGCGACGGAAAAGGAGTAGTGTCACTGCTCGCGCGGCGCGAGGTCTTCCGGTCGGCGAGCGCGTCGCTTTCCGGAAATGAAGAGAACGGGAGGAATCGGTTCGTTCCTGCCGCGGAGTGCACAGGAGCGCACAAGAAGTTGTCGTTCTGTCAGGTCAAGTCACGTGACCTAATTTTGAACGCGCTGGCAGTACGCGCCTTTAGCTCTGTGGATATTCGGCCAGACTGGTGGTTTCACACGCAGTCGAGCGGCGGGGCCAGTGGGGCCCCGAAAGGCAAGTCCCCAGTAAAGGTCCCTCTCGCCTGGACTGGGCGTGGCGGCGTCTGCTTTGGCATTCATAACAGGCAGCTGCCGCAGCTGGCACAACCCCCAGCGCGGCCACGTCCACGGCCACCTTGTGGGGCGCACACTGCCACCAGCAATCACAACAATGCAGCGACCGCTAGGCTAGTTTCAGCGGCACGGGTCCCAAGCCCAAGCCGCAACAGACCGGCGGAGGCGGTCGAAATCCCGGACGCGTTTTGAGCTCCAGAGTCGCTGAATGCGACTCGAAACGAACGTGTGACCGCACCAATGGATTGCTTTCCGAACTAGGAATCCATTGGTGGGGTCACACGTTCGATTTCAGTACTGTTTAGCGAGTCGCTGGAGCGAGTCTGGAGCTCAAAACGCGTCTCGAGCTTTGGCCGCCTCCCCCGGTCTTCTGGCAAATCCACTGTGTCGGTGACTTTTGACACCGCCAGCTTCCCTGTACCGCCGTCGTAGCCCGCGACGTACTTGGCGTTGCCGACGACAATGGACCGCCAGACACTCGAGCGCCGTGCTCCAGATAAAATTGCCCGCCTTCTTACAGCCTGCTTTATGACTCAAGTTATAACGACGCGATTTATCTTTTGCGAGCGTGCGATTTGCTTGTGCATCCGACAAGCCGAGCGGCGCATAACTTTGGCCGCGGACGGGACGGCCGAACGGCCGGACCGGGGCAGAGGTGAGTTGGGACGGGGTTTCGACGATGGGCCCACAAACCGCACACCGCAGTCAAACACATGCCGACCGCTACAAACCTCCAAACACATCCACAAAAGGTTTGGATATTTGATATTTTTATCGAGTTATTATAGCAGAGTGTTCTGGAAAGAAAGAAAGGGATAGAGCTCATGCCATGGGTGTGTCCGCCCGGGGTGCCGTCACCGCAGTCGTTCCAGTCCGTGATGAACAGTGCAGGTACTGCCTGGGACGCCCTCTCTTTTAATTAATAACCTCCTGGCCCTGGGCAGCCCCTGGGCAGCCCTGGCGTCGAAACGTCTCCCATTAAGGCTGATATCTCGCAAATTGGGTCGTTGGGCTTACAGTGGCGTGCAGTAACTGCACGGCCACTGCACCGTCCCTCCGGAATTAGTTAATTCGAACTGGCAGGGGAAGAGGGCGCTGTTGTTGGAGCGAGTCCTGGAGGAACGATCATCTGGAAACTTTTAGAGTAACTGAAATCAGCAAAAGAAGTTGCAGCAGCATCACTGCTTGCAAAAAAAAAATTTCAAGGGTTCTGCGACGTGAACTGTGTTTGGTTTTCTGAAATTGCCCGTTTCTCATTGGTATGTGTTTTCCTTGCAGGTGAGTCAATTCCTCTTCGACGCTGTCGTCGCCAGCACGGTATGTGAAACCCTCCCCAGCGAGCGTGGAGTAGCCGACGGAAGTGCAGAATCCATTTCCCTGGCGGGCTGCCGTGACGCGCCTGTCACACGTCCGTGACACGTCAGTGACACGTCAGTGACACGTCACACGTGACGGAGTGACGGCCCTGTGACACGTGACTGACGAGTGGCGACGCCACACTCTAGTTTGGAACGCGTTCGCTGTTTCGCGTCGCCTGAGGTGGAGCCACCTTATTTTGATTCGACGAACACAGCCAAAATCATGCACTCAACAACACGAGCTGTGCAAGTTAGACGTTTTTAGTTGTACCTCATGTCAGATTGAGGGTGTTTGTTTGATTGAGTCGGTGTGCTGTTTTTTTCCACATCCCCAATTTTTTTTTTTTCGGCCCGTGTTGACAAGAATGTCTATATGAACGCAGAGATGGATCCTGCACGCCTTGCCCGTGTTTGTTCTGCGTCGCGGAAGCATCACGGAAGCGTCGCGGTGGCAAGACAAGGCGGTGCAAGAGTTTGCATTCGATTTCGGCCGTCACCGCTACCGCCACTGCCGTGTGCAAACAGAATTAAAAGTTCCATCAAAGTGAATCGCGCTCCGGCGGGCCGACCGGCCGACGCAACTGCCGTCGGGTTTGACGGAGATGCGGCGGTCCTGTCGGAGTGGCTGGGCTGTCTGGCTCGCTGGTCCTTTTCGTCTGGAGCCGCCCGCCCTGGGCTGGGCCTTCCATCTTCTCTCTGCTCGATATTTCCTCGTAAGCTGGCAGAAAAACGCGAGTGGAAAATTATGTCGATTCTCGAGTGCGCGTCTCGGGTGACTTCTGTCCAAAAGTTGGAACCACACTGCAAACTCGTTGACTCGTTCACCTCCAGCACGTGTTGCCTTCTCGAAACCTGAACGACTTTCCTGTTTTTGCCAACCCTCGCGGCGATGGCAGCCCCTCGCCCTCCAGCCGGCAAGCGCCCCCTCGCTCCGCGAACCGGCCTACAGACTCGGCAGTGTAAATTGCAAAACGCGCTGGCGCGGCGGGTCGGAGGTTCGACTCCCGGCCGGGGCGGCAGGGGGAATGCTCGAGGTGTGAGGTGGAACGCAAGAGGTCATCGTTATCGGGCCGTTTGCAAAAAGTTGCCGGCCTCCGCTGGGCCTTGGGCTGGCCGAGGCCGGGCCGGGGCGTGATTGGGGTGCGAGAGAGACAGAGCGAGGGGAGGGTCGCGCTGCTCCGCGCTGCTCGCCAAGTGGCGCACTTCCTGTGTTATAACGGCACGTGCGAGGAGTATCGAAAAGGCAAGACGGAGCGGCGTAATTTAGCAGCGTCTCGACTGCATATCGGGGCGCGGCGGGGCGCGGCGGGGCGGGGGGGCGGGGCGCGGCGGGGCGGGGCGGGGCGGGGGCGGGGCGATATGGGGTGTGGAGGCGGCTT